TGCTATCCTTCCTCCATTGCATGCTTTTAGCCCCTTTATCAAAAATAAGATAGTTGTAGTTTTGTGGATTGGTTACTGTGTCCTCTATTCTGTACCATTGGTCCACCCTCCTGTTTTGGTACCAGTACCATGCAAAACAACTACTTTTAAAATTTTCACCTGTAAAAATAGCTATACAATTTTCAATTTTAAGGTTGTGCTATAATTTACTTAAGAGTAATCCACAGCAGCCACCACAGTGGTGCATGCCTGTAATCCCTTCAGCTTGGGAAGCTAAGGCACAAGGATTGCAAGTTCAAAGCCAGCCTTTTCTCAAAATAAATAAATAAAAATAAATAAAATAAAAAGGGGTAGGATGTGGCTTAGAGGTTGACTGCCGCTGGGTTCAATCCTTCATACAAAAAAGAAAAGTAATCCTCTGCAGATAGACATTCAGTATGTCTCTTCCACCCTGGAAGGCACAGGCGATCTTTTCCAGTTTTGTATTCTTGTCTGCTGTCTAGTTAAAACAAATGCCAGAATGTGGAATGGGTGAACAATAGGGTATCTGCATTTTAACTTTCACTATAAAACTGTCCTCTAGAATTATACCAACTGCATTCCCCTAGTAATGCACTAGAGGGCTCAGTTGACCCACATCTCTCTAGTGCCTGAAAAATTAACTACCTTGTGTCTTAGGTATTACTAATTAAATACTTTCTCATCATTTCATATTTTTATTGGAATTTCATATTAATTTTATTAAATATTCTTTGCAGTTTTTCAATTATGGTCATCTGCTTTTCTGTTTTGAAGTATTTGCTTTTATAGCTTGATTTGTCTGTTTTGTGGTTTCTATATAGTATTGTGATAAACCTTTCTCAGTTAACATTTATTGGTCACTTTTTGAATCTTTGTTGATGTGGAAGTGCTGAGATTATAAATTCAAAATGCATGTCTTCCCTCCTCACCAAAGAATTTATATACTAAGAGAAAAACTGACATGTAAATAAATTATTGTAACTGCTGTATTTATGTTATGTATAGAAAGCACATTTAAGTGCTCAGAGAATAAAGTCAACTAAAGGCCTAGTGAATTTATAGAGGAAGCATCACTGAGCTGTGTCTGTCACAAATTTTCTAGCAAGGCACATACCTATGGCACATATCTGTAATCTCAGTGACTTGGGAGGTTGAGGCAGGAGGAATACAAGTTCAAGGTCAACCTTAGCAACTTAGCAAGGCCAGTCTTGAAGAAAGAAAAGGAAAAAGGACTTGGGATGTAGCTTGGTGGTAAGGTGCCCCAGGTTCAATCCCTAACACCCTGCCCCTCTAAAAAAGAAATTTCTAGATAGAGCTGGACACAGAGATGTATGTCTGTGCTTCCAGCAACTTGGGAGGCTGAGGGAGGAGGAGCACAAGTTAGCAAGAATTTGTCTCAAAATAAAATTTTAAAAGGGCTTGAGTTGTAGCTTAGTGGTAAGGTGTTCTATGTACTGGAAAACAAAAAACAAAAAACAGATAGAAGGGAATGGTGTACAGTGAGTGCAATGCAGGATTAGATGGCCATAAGGAAAACATCATGGTAGAAATATTGATGCATTAGCCTGCCTAATTTTTTTTTTTTAAAGGAGTTGCTAATGGTGGACCCCAAACTGGGAAATTAGATGAGTAAAGTTTATGGGAATCTCAGACCAGTTTCATAGTGGGATATAACCAGATCAGATCTGCATTACAATTCAGAAGACTTTTCTGATGTCAGTGTTGCATGTGGCCTGGCATGGGGGAAAGATGAGAAGCTTTAGAACAAATTACTACCTGCCCATATGAATGGAATGCATGTGAAAATAATATCAGAAACGTTTCTTCAGCTGGGCACGGTGGCACACACCTGTAATCTCAGCTACTTGGGAGCTGAAGCAGGAGGATCATAAGTTGGAGGCCAGCCTTATTGATGCCCTGTCTTAAATTTTAAAAATAGAGCAAGGGGTGTTGCTCAGTGGTAGAGCATCCCTAGGTTCAATCCCCAGTACTGCCACCTACCAAATGTTGTCACTAGACACCTTCCTGCTGACTATAACTTGGTAAATTTTTAAAAGTTGTAAAGCTTCATTAATTCCTTATATTCTTATCATAAACTGGTCTTTTTAGCTCCAAAGTGCGACATCAGGAATGTTATTCTTCAAAGAGAAATGCCCCACTAAACACATTGCCTTGTGTTTCTCATTAATAGGCTGCCGCTGATGAATACAATAGACTGAAGCAAGTTAAGGGAGTAAGTATCCTGAATTGTAAGATTCTTTTAGGAAAATCTTTTCTATGTTTTTTTTTTTTTTATTTAATCTTTAGGATGACTAAGAATACCTTCTTATGCTTGCACTGGTTATTGAGAAAAAGCCCTGTGATTTTGATAGGAATACTATAACTCAGAAGTTGGAACTTTAATTTCAGTTGTTTGCTGCTACAGTCCATACTGATTTTCTGAAAACTTTTTTTTTTTTTAAGTATACACACAAAAGTGTTGAAATCAAAGTATACAACTTGGTAAATTTTCACTCCAATGCACTGGCATCCAAATCAAGAAATAATTTCCTATGACCTGGCAACCCCCACCCCATCTTTTTTCCCTGATATCTTGAACTTTATATAAATAGAATCATACAGTATGTATTTTGTGTGTGGTATTTCTTTTACTATGTTTCCAAGTTCCTTTCATAGTTTGGCATGTAGTTCTGGTTCATTTATTTTTATTGCTATGCTGTGTGTTTAATGATTAAAACACAACTTGGACTTAGGATGAAACTCAATATGCATGAAGCCCAAGGTTCTATCCCCAGCATGGCAAAAAAACCATACACACAATTTATTCATCTACTATATTGCTAATCAACATTTGAGTTACAAATAAGGCAGTATGAAATATTTTTGTAAATGTGCAAACATTTAATAGGTACAAACTCAGAAGTGAAATCACAGAGTCATTGGGCATGCAGTAGAAGGCATGTGTGTATCTAGCCTTAGTAAACACTGTCAAACAGCTTTCCAGGATAGTTGGGCCATTTATATTCCCTCTGAGCAATGCAGCCCCCGTTGTTCTGTGTCCTTGCTAACACTTGGTATTATCAGTCATTGACTTAAAACATTTTTAAGATTTTACTTTAAAATTTTTGTGAATTATGAAGCATCATGATTTTAAATAAGAGTTTTAAAACAGTATGTAGTAAATGTCTCTTATCCCCTGTTTGATAATGCCAGTTTCTTATTTCACCAATTTTTGTAGATGATCTGATAGAAAAAAGGCCAATAAGTCTTCTTGGTGATTTAATGAATTTTTAGAAATGAGCATATGCTTTGTGAAATCCAGGTTAGAAGATATAATTGAGTAAAGTGAATCAGCTGCCTATGTGGTTGGCAGTACCACCAGACACTTTAAATATATTCATTTAACACTCAGCAATTCTTTATGACTAATATTCCCTTTGTTCACCTCTGCCTTCTCAGCAGACCTATTTTAATTGTGTTGAATTCATGTGATTCATTTTTTCCTCCCTTTTAGTCTGCAGATTACAAAAGAAAGAGAAAATACTGCAAACAGTTGAAGAGTAAATTGTCACACATCAAGAAGATGGTTGGAGACTATGATAGACGGAAAACTTAGAAGGCAGATGCCACAGTGCTGGAGAAATTAAGGAATATCTATCTGATATCTCTGAAATGTTCTCAGAAGGCAAATGACTTTGGACTCTTACCTAGGAAGCCAAAACTCGGTGTTCATTACAAAGTTTTGGTAGCTTTAATATCATCAGTTTCATATCATCAGTATTGAAGCATTTATAAATAACTTTTGTTAATCAACTGGGCTGAACACTCCTATTAAGGATTTTATAGTTTAAACACTGGTTCTCGTATTAAGAACAAAATAATGCTGTTTGAGGGTTTTAAACCTTAAAGGAAGGTCCTGGTATGAACTGTGCTGTGAATTTTCACACCCAAGAAAGCATCTAATCTTCCCAACAATGCTTTAGATAATTATTATTTATAATCATTTCTTTTTAAATAAGAAAACTGGGTCCCTGCAATGAAGTCTCTGAAGTGAGACTGCTTGTGTACTAGCATATGCTTTTGGTTATGTCTATTTTATGACTCCATTAATAATAAAGTTCCTGCCTTTGGAATTTTAGCTACTGTGTATACTACATTCTGCCAACCTCCCTATTGATTTTTTTCTGTTATAAAATGATTAAAATGTTTTTTTTTTTGTTGCTTTTTGTCACCTGTTAATTAAGATCATGTAAAATTAACAGATGTATGAAATTTAAAGATTGTAAATATAAATGTGTGTGTGTGTATATATATAATATATACTTTTTAAAAATGAAAGCTTAAACCTAGTGGTTAGAATTTTGTGTTTTTAAGTAGTTTTTATCTTTTATGGTTTACATGCATTTTTTGGTAATCAACTAGACCTTTTTCACTTTATCAGAATGTCCCATTACATTCATAATTGAATTATGACTTGAATTATATCATACAGGAATGTTCAACTTCTGTACATATCTCATAAGGTATTAAACCTGGTGTTCTCTTTTTGTAATACACAGTTTGATGTCATTAGTATGGTTAATATTAGGCTGTGGAAAACTACACTCAGGAGTTGTCCCTTGTTTTAAACTATTTTGTGTGCTGTGCTTGTTGGCAATTTCCCAATCCTTTGGCTGTAAGAAGGCTAATGTGTCTGGAAATAGAATGCTATTCCATAAAACACCAAATTATTTCAAACCGTTCCTTTAAATCTCATCACTTCTTTAAAAACTTCAAATTCTTATTAGAAGTAAAATTAGTTCCTAATACTATGCTAACCAAGTTGATTGTGTTTATCCATCCCAGTTTTGATTGTTTTTCTGACAATTGAATAATCTTTAGTATGCAATTCAGGCATTGAAGTTTATAATTTTCTGTGTACAATTTTGCATTAGTTTCTAAAGATAAACTTTTAAATGTTTTCATGGAACACTGTTTCACTTCTTCAAATTGAAGAAATTCTTATCTTTCTATATGTTTCATAATATGATTCTATATTATACAAAAGGCATTTCCAAAGTTTTTAGATTCACATAAAATGGAAATGAGCATGAGCACATTCACTGATTTTTTTCTTTTTATTTGGTCGGACTGGGGATTGAACCCAGGGCCTCAAGCATGCAAGCAAGGCAAGCACTCTATCACTGAGCTATATCACTAGCCCACCTTCACTGATTTTTGTTAAATATTTAATTATGTTCTTGGAAATCATTTTACCTTGTTTGTGAAGGCAAGTTTGCCAGTGTTCTCATAGAACAATTTTTCCACTGAACACAGAAAATGAAATAGGAAGGATTGTAAAATTGTGCCATAAAATTGGACTTTGAAATAAAATAAGAAAATAATTGTTGAAATGCAGTACGTAGCAATAAAGACCACTTCAGGAAGCCAGGATCAGAAGACTGTGGATCATGGATCCAGGGGCTCTGGCATCAGTTGGGATTAGGATTTCTTACCCAGGCATTCTCCCTGCTTAGGCATCAGGATGGAAGTGTCTCCACTCTGGATTTTTTCAAAGGCTCAGCTGGAACAATCAGAATACATACTTGATCACCTGGGTGTTCGTGATTCTACTACACTACACCACACTCACTCCCCCCTTCCATCCCTACCTTTAAAATTTTTAATTCTGAGACTGGGTCTCATTAAGTTGCCAAAGCTGTCCTCACACTTACTTTTTTTTTTTTTTGGTCCTCGAACTTTCAGTCCTCTTGCCTCAGACTCCTGAGTTGCTGGGATTACTACAGGCATGTGCCACTGTGCCTGGCGCTCTATACCACCTCTTGGGTGAAAGGAAAAATAGATGTAGAAGTACGTAATCCCTTATTTTATATTGTTAACATTTTTTCTATTGAAAAGAAATGAGCAAAATGCTTGAATAATTAGAGAAGCTTTTAGAAAATATTGTGTCAGTAAATTATTATGCCCCTTTGTAGTTAGAAAAGTGATACAGCTACATGGCCAGGATGTTTTTATATGACAGCAACAAAATGTAGAAGGGTATTCCATAAAGTTTCTCATTTGTTGCCTGCAAAGCATCTGTTCTGTTCTTGGCTTTGCCCTTCAGCAGTTACTCAAGTAGGTCCTTGGATGAATTACTTAACCTTCCTGTTCTTGAGGTTTTTGAATCTGTAAAAGATATTTGTAATGACCTAATTTTAAAGGTAATATATCCTTGTCTAAAAGTAAATATGGAAATGGAGAGTAGCACTCAGCAATGCTAGTTTCCCTTTCTCCCCCTTTAAAACTTTGTTAATGCAAGACAACAGAAACTGAACAATAAGACCTTGTCATTCCAGAGGAAATGACATTGGAGTTGCCACCAAACCCTGTAGCTATCATCATTTTGCAGATAGGTAATTTAAAACCCAGCTGTGGTCTTTCTACTACAATGTAGGAGACCTGTCTTATGATTTTGAGGGAGGCAGAATGCAGACCAGGAAGATTTGGGTACCAACAAAACAATAAAGACAAAGGGATGAATATGCTGATAAGAGAAGGAAAGAGATCATTGCTCATGAGGTTCCTTTCTGCTATTTCTCCCTTAGTCCCTGGCTCTTTTCTGATCCTTTGGGAGTTGCCTTGCCTCTCCATTTCTCAAGTGTGAGAAATTCTAGTAACTCCATATGTGTCAGTATATATCTCAAACAATTTGTCCAAAACTGAACTGATCTTACTCATGGCCTCTCAGCAATTGCAACTATACCCTTTCAGCTAAAAACTTTTGAGTTATGATCAATGACTTTTATTGATCATGATCAGGATTTTTTTTTAAATAACATCCAGTCTATCCACTGATCATGAGCTGCACTGCCATACTAAATTGGTCAAAGCCATCCTGGCCTCTCCTGAATTCTTACAATGCTCTTAGTCCTCCACCCCTTTATGATTTTAGCTGTCACTGAAGGAGGACTCAGTCACTGACATACTCCATTTTGTCCATCTCTGCCTCCATTTGCCTCCAACTTTTTTGACTTTCTGAGCCACTCTTTGGTATTTACTTTGGATTCTAGGAACAGGTTTGATGGATAAGCATCTTTATGACAAGGAACCAAAAGTACCTCCAAACAATGCCACCACTGAGCAGATCACCCTTTGATGAGATTGCCCTTACTAAGCAGGAGCAACTGCCCCATGATGGAACCAAGGCTGTGCCCCCAAAGCAGGAGCAGTCATGATGGGAATTGAACTGCCCCCCTCAAGCCATAATGGCTTTCCAGGAGCTTCCTAGAACCAATCCCAAATGATCAACCGGACCATGGCCTGACCAAGGCTCCCTCGATCCTTACCTTTGCTGTAAAATCTCAACGTTCTGTCAACACCTTAGGTCACAGAACCTCTTTATTTGTTCTTCCCAGTGTAGCCAGGCTGATAAAAGCTCTTTTTCTTCACCACAGCTGGTCTCCTTGATTGGCATATTGGGAAGGTGACTGAGCCCAGTCTGTTTGGGCCTCTTGCCCTAAAAATTCCAATGACATCACTACGCCCACTGCCTCACTGCAACAGTCCCTAAACCACACCAGCGTGTTTCTACTCAGAGCCTTTGTGCTTGCTGTTTACTTTGTCTGGAGAGCTTTTCCCCCAGGTAACGCTAACTCCTTCCTTCCTTTGGGTTATGGTTCTCACTGACAATTCCTCTGACCACCGAGTTTCAAACTGCAACCCTTTCCCTCTGTAAGCTTATTTTTTCTGAATAGTACCGCCACCATTTGATACATTTTTGACCCTTCTTCCTTTCCCCAGTGATTGAATCAGGATGCTTTACTACTAAGCTACATCGCCAGCCCTTTTAATTTTTTATTTTGAGGCAGGGTCTTGCTAATATTCCCAGGCTGGGCTAGAATTTGCGATGTTCCTCCCTCAGACTTCGAGTGGCTGAGATTACAGGAGTATGCCACCGCGCCCGTTTTTCTTAATAGTTTTCCCCCTAGTAGAAAAAAAAAAAAAAAAAAAAAAAAACTCTACCGGGACAAAGATTTTTTGAGTTTTCATTACCATTTTCTCGGCGCTTAGAACTGTATCGGGCCCAAATTAAGCGCTTAATAAAATATCGTTGCACAGCAAGGTCCTGGCCCTGCTGCCGTGATTAGAGTATTTCATCCCAACAAGATCAAATTCCTCAGAGCTCGCAACGGACGGTTGCTGTACCTCTGAACTCGCAGGAGTGAATAGTGACCGCTCTTCCCGCCTCTTTGTGAAGACCAGCTAGGAAGCAGCTAGTTGGCTCAGGGAAGAATGTTTGGCAGCCGAGTTCCCAGCCGGAACGTTTCTGCGTGACTGCAGCGCGCTGCGGAAGAACGTTGGCGGCGCTCCTTTAGGACTGGGCGGCGCTTCCGGTAGAGAATCGTCCCCGCAAAATTGGTGAGTTGGCTCCTGGCGGTTCTCACGGCGCCTTGCCCGGGCAAGCTGTCAAGTGAGGCGGCTAGTAGGGGACTTCGGGCCCAGGTTGTGTTGAATTGCTCTGGCTGGCTCCGTAGGGTAGCATGGAGCGTGTGAAGGCGGAGGAGAATGGCTTCCGTGCCGGGAGCCGTGGGGAAGCATCAGAGCTGCGGTTTGCGGGAATGGTCCTCTCAACCTAGGGCAGAGTTTTAGCAGTTATGCTCGGTTCGAGTTGGTGACCTACCTCCATCTGTGTTCTCTAAAAAGTTACCAGCTTCTGTGCCTCAAGTTCCATATCTGAAAAACGGGGACAGTACTCTCCCTTGCCTGTCTCATCACTTGTTTGGCAGAGTAAGGTGTGAGGGAAAGCTTTACAAATTGTGATGTTTGGGGAAGCTCCCATTTGTTTGCAGCATTCCGAATTCATATTAACAGCAATCACAAGTCTAGGCTCACTTTGGGGGGCATGGATTTTCTGGTGTTGGATTCCAGGAAATGGATCAGCGACATATGATGAACTTGGGAATTCATAAGC